GGGGCAACTGCAGGGCCAGGCTGGAGGCAGGAAACGTGGAAGAGTCTGAACGGCTGGGGGGGGGCAGCCCACAGGAGGGTGTGCAACCTTGGGCAACTGGACAGTGCATCTGCAAATGGGGGCAGCCACCCCCAAGGGCAAGGCCGGAGAGTGTTCCAGGCTGCACTCAGCGTCTGATGCCCCAGGCAGTCATGGGTCACAGCAGAAACCCCCCCACCCCCGGGCAGGGGAGGTGGGCTGGGGGCAGGCCGGGGTGAGGTCTGGAAACTCAGGGACAGGGGAGGCCTGCCATGCTGCCTCGACCGCCCTCTGCAGCGCGGCAGCCCACTCCTACAGGGCTGTGAGCTCCGCCCAGGGATTCCTTGGATCCTGACACATTGTAGACACAGTCTCAAGAATACACAGTAGCCGCCCCCACACCTGTTTGTCTGCGGGGCTGCTGGGAGCTCCCTGGAGGCTGAGCCCAGGCCCTAGGGTGGGGGGCGGGGCACCAGGTGCAGGGGCCAGAGGCCTTGGGCCAGTGGGCTTGCTCAGGCACCTCTTCTTCCCCTAAACATCCTGGACACGATGTGTCTTCCTTTGGGTGTGTCCTCCCCAGGTCGGATCCCGAGCTCAGGGGCCCAGGCAGCTGGGTTTCTGGACACAGGGCATGTGACCTCCAGCCTGGGGAAGTCCCCTGGGCTTCCTTCCCTCTGGGTACAACATGCATGCAGGCAGGAAATAGGCTGCCCCAGAGGCGACCAAGCAGAAGGCCAGCCCCTGGAGGACACTACCTGGTCTTGCCCCCAGGGACTGAGGACAAGCAGCATCGGAACACTCAGCAGCTGGCCACCCACAAGGCACAAGGCAGTGACCCCCAGGGGCTGTTCCCTGAGAATGGACCGGAAGGAGCCAGTGCCGAGTGACCCCTTGCAGCTCATGGGGACATGCGGCCTGCAGTGGTCTGTCCAGAAGCAGCCAAGACCGCCAGGGCTGGGACCATGGCCCCCAGGAGCCACCCCCAACCTGGAGCTGTGGACTGACAGAGGTGCCCAAAGGAGCCTCCCGTGGGCTGTTCTCCAAGTAGAGGACCTCAGATACCTGGGACACAGATGTCCTTAACATGGCCTACACCGGGTATGTCACCGCTCAGACGCTCTAGCTGGCCTCCCGCCAGAATAAGGGAGGAGGGACTGAGACCGCCAGCACCTGCTCAGGGATGGCCTGTGAGTGAAAGGCACTAGGGGCAGCAGCCGCCAGGCGTGCCAAGCCAGAGTCCCACAGACTGGTCTGCAACGTGGTCCCCAGCTTCGAGCAGGTGAGAGGCCAGATGACAAGCCACAGGCCTCTCAGCCACTGGTGCTCCATTTCCCGTTGGTATACACGCACGCCCAGGGCCTCTGCACCCCCGGGGCCTTTCAAGCCCCCAGAGCCAGCCACTCTCGCCCCTGGCTCTTCTGGCTGACCCTGCGCTCCTGCTCCTCCTGGGGGTGTGACTCAGAGCCTTGGTGGCGTCACATCCAGACGTTTACGCACGAGTTTTCCTATCAGCGCACTGCGAGGCGGCGTCAGGACCACGAAAACGGGCAACAGAGGCCTCCAGCAAGGTTCGGGTAATTTAATGAGTTTTGCTTATTGGATAAAAGTGTCACCATTTGAAGGAAAACAAACGTGGCTCCAGTCGAGTCGGGTCGGTGTGTCGCGGCCCGGAGGGGGCTGTTGCCAGAGAAGCGCGCAGCCGGCCGGCCCCGGGCAGGGACGGGGGGGGGCTCACTCCTTGAACTTCCACTCCTGGCGGCACATGGGGCAGTGCTGCTGCACCTGCTGCGCGTTCAGCCACTTGAGGATGCAGTGCATGTGGAAACAGTGCGAGCACTGGCCCCACACCAAGGGGCAGTCGTCGCCCGGCACCTTGCCTGCGGGAGGGGGGCAAGAGCACCAGGCCAGTCACACAGGGCAGCCCACGTGCCGGGCAGAGACGGGGCGCGGGACCCCTGGGTGTCCGGCACCTGCCCAGCCCCAGCAGCCCAAGGGCGCCTGTGTGCAGGGCCTCTCACACCTCATGTTTCAGAAAAGACAGAAATCAGGAGTGTGAGCACAGTGTGTGGCGTGCACACACACGCACGCACATGCACACAAGGCCCACAAGCGCAGCCCTCACTCTGTCCTCCCCTGCGAGGGGGTGCTCAGCTGCAGGGGGCGCAAGCCGAGCCCACAGTCCCCACCTCCCAGGTTCCGGGCCCATCTACAGGCACACCACAGCTCTGCCACTTCACCTGGAACACCAAGGCCATAGCCTGAATCTATCTAGGGACACCCCCAGCACCCCCGCCACCACTAAAGAGCCACCCCTCTGAACAGGGAACTATTCCTTCCGACCAGGCATGGAGAGCTGGGGCCTTGGGAGGTTCCTCTCTAGACAGCAGGGACCCAGGATGCTTCAAGGGAGCGCTGCTGACGGCCCCACCTGTCAGCAGCCAGGAGTGAGCGAGCGGCTACCTTCCACTCCTTTGTCAGGCCACATGCTGCTGGCGCTCCACTCCACATGCGTGGAAATGCCACCTCTATGGAGGGGTACAGGGGGACAGCCACACTGCCGTGATCAGAAGAAAAAGGGGTTTCTGATTTCCTCTGATTTCTGAGAAGCAAGAAAATCCCATCAAACAGCTGGTGCCACCAGAGCACAACAGGCCCCCTCAGGCTGTGTCAGGGTCCCCGTGGGCATTGAGGCGCTGTGGCTTGCTACCTCTACCATTCCTGGAGTGCCATCCCCCCCATCGCTGCGCTGGGGGTCCTCTACACCTTTGGAACACTAGCTGGACCAGATGTCACTGATGCACAAACACAAGGGACAAGACAGACAAGCCAAGGCGGGGACAAACGGACAGCCTGTCCCTGCAGCAGCTCTATGTCAACACACGTCCTAGACCAAGTTGGGAGCTCCTAGCAGAACAGAGTCTGCCTCTGGATTTCTGTGACCACCATCCCTCCTCAACACCAAACACAGGACGCTCGATCCCACGAAGTAATACCACAGCCAACACAGTGGTCCCACTTGGCCCATCCCTCACCAACAGAGGGGCTGGGGACCTGGCGGTGCTCTCGGCCACCCTCGCCGCACTCGGCCACCCCGTCACCCCTCTTCTGGACAAGAGGCCTGGGCACATGGTGCATTGAGGCGCCTGCCACTTCCGGAGGACAGGAGTCCAGTCCCGTGGTTCAGACGGGCACCAGGTCAGCAGCAAATGTGGACTCTTCAGTGTCCTTCCATGTCTACGGAGCAAGCACAGCTCCCTGACCCCAAGGAGCCCCTGCCCCACACGCCTGCACCCCACGAAGTCAGGACAGCCACCGCTGTACCTTTTTCTCCACTTGTTTGGGGCGGTTTTTCAATCTTCTAAAAAAAACCTTTTTATAACAAAACATCATTGCCTTCCTGAGACTTTGATGACATAATGACTAGAAAATTATACGCTGGGGCAAATACAGAATTACTGTACTCACTCTGCTCCCCCACCCGTCGGGGGGTGGCAGGGGGGAGGACCCTGTGCCAGGAGTGCCCACTCGGTGTGATGGCTGAGATGACTCCCCCCACCCCCAGGGCCTTCCTGGGTCCAGGAGAACACAGCTTGGAAACAGAGTCCCCTGCAAAGGCAGGATAGTCTGGCAGGGGATGCCCTGGGGGCCCGCTGATGGGGGAGTACCCAGGCCACACGGCCATTGGCCATTGGCCATCAGAGGCAGGAGCCACTTCCAGTAATGTCACCAGCAGACGGCCTGCCTGAGGCATGAGGAGCACAGGAGAGTGATGGTGACTCACCCAAGTGCTTGCTCCAGTCTGGACGGAAATCCTTTATCATGAAAACATGTCTCAAGAAGACTTTTACTCCCAAAGCCCTCTGGGGCTGGGGGCAGGTTTATCACAGCGCCCGTCACCCCGGGTTTCTCACAAGCGCACAGCTGTAGCAAGAGAAACCCAGCATCCCTTCATCCGCACAGGCAGCACCTAGGCTTGGCAAACACTTTGTACATGACAACTGGCTCTCAAACTTGACCTCGGGTCTGAAGATCATGCCCTAAATCCCCCTCCACAAAACCAGAGCCCACCGGCAAACGCAGACGCCAGCCACAGCGTCTGGGCTCCGCACCCCTGCATCTCTGCTGGCCGCTCACTCTCCCACAACCAGTCGAGGGCGGTACCCTCCGGGACTTCTTTCCAGAAGACTCAAGTCTGTTGCTCAGGAAGCTGCATGTATGTGCCCCCCAGACTCCCACGGCCTTTGCTGTGCCCCTAGCGACGCATTTAAGAGTGATCTGAAGTAGATTCACTACAACCGCATCTTGAGCATTATGGTGAAGCAAACCTCATCAACCAGAACCAGCCAGTGATCTCCTCAGCTCGCATCCCACCCCTCTGAGTCAATCTGGACAGATTAAGTCCTGGGAGATGAGATTTCCTTTCAGCCAAAGCAAATGTAAAGATTAAAGAACATGCACTCGGCGCCTGGCTGGCTCAGTGGGGTTAAGCGTCTGCCTTCGGCTCAGGTCATCGTCTCCAGGTCCTGGGAGCAGGCCCCACATCAGGCTCCCCGCTCCTCAGAGTCTGCTTCTCCTGCACCCTCAGCTGCTGCCCCCGCTTGTTGTCACTGTCGAGTAAATAAATAAATAGTAAACCTTAAAAGATGAAATAGTATTTGCAGGGGCGCCTGGGTGGCTCAGAGGGTAAAGCCTCGGCCTTCGGCTCAGGTCATGATCTCAGGGTCCTGGGATCGAGCCCCGCATTGGGCTCTCTGCTCAGCGGGGAGCCTGCTTCCCCCTCCTCTCTCTGCCTGCCTCTCTGCCTGCTTGTGATCTCTGTCAAATAAATGAATAAAACCTTAAAAAAAAAAAATCCAATGACCTGAATTTCACTGTAAGAAGTAAAGCACTATTATTATTCTGGCCACTCACCTGACCCCACACAAAAGGCCTGGTCATTCATGGGACAGGGACTCTTTAGTACTCCAATGTCCTGTTTTCCTCTTGGGACTGCCCTTGGCCCCTAAGGGTCAACTTGCTTCTGTTTAAGTTCACTTGGATTTGGCTAAAACCAAAATGCACTGGTGCAAAAACTGGTTTTTGACTTAAAAATATATTCAAAGTGTTTCTACTTCACAGAACATAATGGGAACAAAAATGAATCCAAAACCAGCACAAAAAAGAAATCTGATAAAACCTGGTCGGGGGCACTCTGTGAGACAAGACAACTTTGCTAAAGGTCAGACGCCTTGAAAAAGCTGAGTGGGGGTGGAAGGGCCTGTTCTGTGTTAGCACTGAACACCCAGGGCAGAGCAGAGCAAGCAACCGTGGGTCCTGCTGACACCACGCAGTGAAGGGACACCTACGGACACCTGGGCAAGGCCGAGCAAGGACTAGGAATGGGGGAGACCCTAAGGACTCATCATCACGTCCTGTCTGATGTGACGGGACAGCCCGTAAAAAGCTTCAGTTCCTTTGAGAGACTTGGTGGACGCGGCACCAGGCATCCGAGTTATCGTCGCGGAACCACGGAGCAGAGGCGGAAAGGTCCCTTACCCACCGTGATCCTGTGTGCTGGGCAAGCGAGCGGTGCCCCTACAACATTCCGGGTTTTGTTCGCTTGAGAATCTTCAAACACAGAGTTCTAACATGTCTTTCTCCCCCTCAGACTTCACAGGCAAGTCTTACCACAGTACATGGCGACACCACTTTTCTTACAAAACTTCTCATGGGGCCCAAACCACCTGGCTCTCTTCTGTCAACTCTCCTTGAGGAAAGGGACACCAAAACCCAGCCACTTCGTGCGGGTATTTCTGGCGAGAGGTCATGGCCAGGCCAGCAGGCAAAGCTCAAGAGGGAGGGAATTCAGGGGACACTCACAGTCCGGGCAGCAGCCATTAAAGGCCATCCGGCAGATGCCACAGTTCTCGTCGTTGGCCACCCAGAGCCAAGTGGCCACGCCGTTCCAGCACTTAATCTTCACCTTCATGGCCGCGGAGCCTAGAGGCAGAGGGAAAGAGATCACCCGGCACCTCAGTCTGCACAACTACAGCATCTAGGTACCAAAGGGGCGCTCCTCTGAGCCCGAGGGTCACCCAACCCCACGGTCAGCACGGGGCTGGAACGGCGGCCAGAGCTCTGAGAAACCCAGACCGACCAGCACAAATTCGTCCGCGAGGACGGCGGAGGCAGGGCCCGGGCGCCCCTGGGAGGGCGAGCGAGGCTCCCCACACCCGCAGGGTTCTCTACACGGACGGCACGGTCTGCGCGGCGTCCACGAAGCGCAGCGCGGGCTCCCACCAGTGCCTGCAGAGATGGACCGCACGGTGCTTTTCGGAGGGGTGCGGCCGGGTCAGGGGGCACAGGGAGACCCCGACCCACCTGACCACCTGGGGGGACCCACCCAGCCCACTCGGCCTGCGGCCCTGGTCAGCAAAGACTTTGGTCGGGGAGCCGCCGCCGCCACACAAGAGCGCGGAAGAGGGGGGTGCAGGGCGGGACCAGGGCGCGGGGACAAGGTGAAGTGCGAGGAAGGAGGGTCGCGGAAGGCGCGGGAGCGCGGGGAGACGCTGCGGGGCGGGGCGCTCCGTCTCGGGGAGAGGGTGGGGCGCTGAGGGAGAAGTGCGGGTTCAAGGCACGGGCGGGAAAAGGCGGGGGAGGGGCGGCGCGCCAGTCCCACCCCAACGGCCGCGCTCCGCCCCGCGCTCTCGCACCTCCGCCGGCCTGACCGCGCGCTGCCCCGCCCGCCTTCCGTTGGCAGCGCCCGCGCGGGAAGGTATAAAAACGACCGCGGCCACTGCCCGGCACCTTCCAGAGCGCCCGCCGAACTCGCTCCCTAGCGCGCACGCGCCGCCCCGCCCCCGCCGTGCACTCACAGCCAATCTCCGGCCTCTCCAAGGCCTCGGCACCGGAAGACACCGCGCGGCCCCGGAAGTGACGCGCCGGCGTGCTGACGCGCGGGCTCGAGCCAAGGCCGATTCCGCGCCCGCCATGGCCGACAAAATGGACATGTCTTTGGACGACATCATTAAGCTGAACCGGAGCCAGCGAGGTGGCCGCGGCGGAGGCCGGGGCCGCGGCAGGGCCGGCTCCCAGGGCGGCCGTGGTGGCGGGGCGCAGGCCGCCGCGCGAGTGAACCGAGGCGGCGGGCCCATCCGGAACCGGCCGGCCATCGCCCGCGGCGCGGCAGGCGGCGGCGGCAGGAACCGGCCGGCGCCCTAC